GGCAGCCCTTACAAGTCCACCATATGTTGAGACCTTATCTTCTTTCCTGAAACCCAGAAGGCGGCGCTCTGTATACACTGGTCATACAGAGGGCAGGTGGTCTTAAAGTCTGATCTGAAGTGATGGTGTATTCTCTAACTCTGTATGTTTCACCGTCACAGATAAACATCTTTTGTGAAGCCAGTGCTAATCTATCCTCTGCATCCTCTCCCTACCAGTTGTTGGCTGTGGGTGAAAATTAACCACTCCAAATGCTGTTTAGAAAGCATTTCCTCACATACTTTACCTCTTGAGCCTCATAGCAATCCCGTAGATCTGGTATTTTGGGTCATACATTGTAAAAGTTTCATCAACAATACCAACAACTGGGGCTCCATACAGTTAAGTGACTTTCTCAAAGTCACGTAGCTAAGAAGTAAGCAAGTGGAGACTCAAATCCACATCTTCTGAGTTTATAGTTGAAGCTCTTTTCTCCAACCCCGTGCTGCCTCACTGTGGGTTGTTTTTTTGCTCCTTGCCCTTCCTGAATGTGCCACGGCAAAAAAATTTTTGCAAGGATGCCACATAATGAATCAAAAGAAGGATGAATATACACGTGCCAAGATAAGGACAGTGGTCTGCCCTAGAACATTTTTGTTTCATTTTTTCCAATGTTGTTCTGAATTGCACTTCCTTCCCACCCCACCAAAGGTGTCAAACAGATGTGGAAATACCGCAGAGCTCCAAGTCACAGCATTGGTGTATGATTCACTGATTGTGACGGGGAAAAATAATGCAGGAGTTTACCATGGTGATGCCTGTTTATGAAAGCGATGTGGTAGATGATGAGGAACGTGGTAGAAACCAGACATGGGCAAAAACAGCAAGAAAGCACTTTCCCCTGGAGTTTGCAAAGGGGCTCAGCGCTTGTACGGGCCCAGATCTCGCAGGGGAGATGGGATAAAAAATGCACCAACTTGGCTGGAGTGGGGAGCAGCAAAGCCACTGGGAGTATCCCTTCACTTTCTTTAAGACATATGATGGTACATTCTATTCTGTTCTGTTCTATTAATTCATTCATTTTTCTGGCAGTCATTGGTTACCCTGATATAGTAGAATATGCTTAGACCCTAGCTGGAGATGGGCAGCATGATATGATGGCTGGGCAGGACTGGGCAGGAAGTTTTATGGAACAGGCCTGAAGGTGGCATATATTACTCGTGCTCATGTAATAATGATGAAACTCAGTCACATGGTTGCATCTCCCTGCGAGGGAAGCTGGGAAATGTGGTCTATCTCTGTGCACTGGACAGAAGGAAAATGGTGCAGTGGACAACTTGCCAGTCTCTGCTCCAGTGTTCAATGCATGGCAACCACATTTTGTGAATACTAATATAATACCCTGGTGATTCCCATGGCATCCTAAGCTCCTCAGGTGCCCCCCTCTCTCTGGTCCCCTCACATGATCTTACCATTGGGGATTTCAGGTCTTCTGACCTCACATGGCAGCTCAGGGCTCCAATGCAAGTGCTCTGAGAAGCAGCCAGGCAGTCACTTATTGCCTTTTCTAATCTAGCCTCAGAAGTTCTGCAGCATCACTTCTGCCAGAATCCTTTTTGTCCAAGCAGTCACAAAGGCCTGCTCAGGCTCAATGGAAAGGGGCAGAGACTCCACCTCTTGAGGACGGGTGTGTCAAAGAAACTGTTTGTAGACATGTCTTATTGATGAAACGGCCCCACTTCCCCACCCTACCCCCGATCTAGGTGCTGTAATGGCTTCCCCGTCTAACATCACCCCGGATGGGATCATTCGTGCCTGCAGATGGTTCAGGACTCATACTGAGCTAAAGCAGACTGATTTCTTCAAAGGACAGAGCTGAAGGCTGAGAAACCTGGCTAAGGAGCCTGGCCTGGGATGATGGGGCTGGGGAAGGGACGGACACGTGAGGTGGTGCATCCTCTTCTCAGTGTCAGTTTCCTTAGTTCCCATTTTCAGCCAAGCAGGTTGGCAATCCAGGCTCTGTCCTCACCAAACCAAGGTCTGCAAGCAGGAGAGGGTTATTATGTAAAGCATGGAAGCTCAGAGAACTTAAGTCAGTTACTTAAGTTCACACAGCTAGGAGTGGGGAGCAGGACAGAGATTTGAACCCTGACCTGTGTCACCCAAAACCCATATGCTCCCTGGCCTCCCTGGCAGTGTGTGCGTTGGGCAGTGGTGGCAGTGGGGTTTGGGGCAGACAGACAACAGAGCTCTCTCCCTACCCTCTCTCTGTAGCCAGATACCAGGGAAATAGGTGTCCTAGACACACTGCACGGGAGAGGCAGCAGAAGGGGACCACTCTTGGTGCTGTGACTCAACTAATTATAGTAACGGTAGCTGCCATGATTATTTAACGAGTGCCTGATAAGCACTGTGTATGTGTCATCATCTCATTTAACCCTCTTAAAAACTCTTGAGGTCAGGATTGTCACCGTCAGTTAGAGGGTGTTGGAGAAACTGAGCCTTGGAGATGAAGAGAACTGCCCATAAGTCACTCAGTAAGTGGCAGGGCAGGCATTCAAACTCATGGCTGCTTCCCTCTGAAGCTCAGCCTCCCAAATACTGACTCTGTGCCTGAGACAACCCCACAGCCCCCACCCGAATCCATGCCTCCAAGTCCTCGGCATTTCAGCGGCACACTTTGTGCCCCTTCATAAATAAATATTAATTGAAAATATCCGTGCCGCAGCCGCTAACACAAGCTGCCGAGTTACCACGCTGTGTCCTGGTGATTAAACCCTTGGTTTCATTGTCATATTCTCAGTTGTCACGGTCCCCAAACATCCATCCCAGTTGAGATGGGGGGTAAGAAGGAACTCGGGGTGATGATGAGCACACACAGATTCCTGTCTGTGTGCTGGTGTCCACTCCTTGCATGAACAGCTTTCATTATTTCCCTGTGTGACTCTTGCTCTCCTTTACCAGCCCTCAGCTTAGTCTGAGAAGTCTAAATGCTGCCTCTCTCCATCACAAGCTTGTTAAGAAACAACTTTGGTAAGGTAGATAGCTAGTGGGAAGCAGCCGCACAGCACAGGGAGATGAGCTTGGTGCTTTGTGACCACCTAGAGGGGTGGGATAGGGAGGGTGGGAGGGAGGGAGACGCAAGAGGGAAGAGATATGGGAACATATGTATATGTATAACTGATTCACTTTGTTATAAAGCAGAAAGATGTTAAAAAAAAAAAAGAAAGAAACAACTTTGATTGTTACTGTATTTTTTTAAATTTGGGGGGAGTTTGGGATTTACATATTCACACTACTGGATTTATTAATTTATTTATTTAACATCTTTATTGGAGTATAATTGCTTTACAATGGTGTGTTAGTTTCTGCTTTATGACAAAGTGAATCAGCTATACGTATATATATATCGCCTACTGTATTTAAAATAGATAACCAACAAGGACCTACTGTATAGCACAAGGAACTCTGCTCAATATTCTGTAATAACCTAAATGATTGTTACTTTAGATAGAGGAAAACTGGATGACGAAGGGAGGTGGTTCCCCAGGGAGGGGGCTCCAGGACTCACTTGATTTTTATTTCAGTATGACTTTTGAAATCAGGAGAGTAATCCCTCCTCCAATTTGATTTTTCTTTATACAGAGTGCTAGAATCTGAAAATTGTTTCCCTTTTCATTTTATGCAACTTGAGAACTCACAGGTCTTTCTGAGGCATAATAACAGGATGGCAACTTTAGGACCTGAGTAGGAGAACCAAAGAGGTAGTGAACGTATGGATGGGGATCCATCATTGGGAAAATGGCCTTTTAGTACCTAAATGTTCTGGCAGGAAGCAAAGCTAAACTCCAACTTGGCCAAAACCTTGAAAAGTTTCTGATCAAGGAGACATGGTAAATAGGAATTAATTGTTCAGCCTCCATTATTAAAAACTGTAACATATTATTCATGGTCCTTTTTTAAAAAGATTTTTTTTTGTATCCCGTCTTCGTAGATAGCTTTAGTGAACACGGTATTTACACGATTGTTCACAAGTTCTCTCTTGACTTTGGTTTTCTCTAATCTTGGTTTTCTACCATCCAAGGTGCCTCCTTCTCCGGGACACCAACGCCACCATAATGCTTTGAGCTCTTCCGTGGCAAATTCTTCTCTTTGGGGCCATTTTCAGGAGCTTCAGCCTACAAATTGGGGCAGGAGTAACCCATGAAGCTGTCTTTACCTGTTGTACGAGATTACTCTTGCCAGGCACATGGTCTGCTGTGTTGGGCTATGGAGTTAAATGAGATATGGTCTTTGCCCTCAGAGAGTTTGCAGATTAGCTGGAAAATAGACAGGTGGGTACCAAAGTCGGTCAAGATTCCTTTGGTTTCAGGTGATAGAAAATTCAACTCAAACTGATTTAAGACAAAATATAAGGGAGATGGGATAGATTGGCTCACATAATCTCAAAATACAGAGGTTTCTGGCATCAGGCATGGGTGGATCCAGCTACTCCTAGCATAGCACCAGAACCAGTCTCTTTTCATCTCCTGACTCTGGAAATTCTCTCTTCATGGTAGCTAGATAGCTTCTGGCAACTCCAGTGGAGCGAAAGCTGTTGGGAATTTGAGTCATGTGTGTACTCCTGAAACAATTACTGTGGTCATAGGGAGTGACGATGCTTATAAGCCTGGCCTAGATCAGGTGCCCATCTCCAGAGTTGGGGAGAGGGGTCAGCCCCACTTGTATGATACAATCCAAGAGCTGGGGGAGGGGGGCTTCCAAAGAAAAATTTGTTATCTGAAGAAGGGGCAAGAGAAGCCAGGCAGCTAAACATACCAGGGCTCTACTGTGTACATAATGGCTAGCTTATTCCATACAGTGTCCTTCGGGTTGGTTGGGCATGCTCTAGGGAATATCATTAATCATTGGAATTGCCTTCTCCTTAACAAGCAACGTCCCTCCAGCTTAAGGCAGTCTGGGTTAAATAGACCATAAGTGTAACCTGCAAAAATCTGACCCAAATTTGTTCTCCATTGCAGTGACCTGGATAGAAATAACATCACCAGGATCACCAAGACCGATTTCGCTGGACTCAAGAACCTCCGAGTCTTGTAAGTAACGCGTGGCTCTCCAATGCATTTTCACTCTCAGCTCTTCAGCCTTGTGAAAATGTCCCACTGCCCTGACATCACACCCCCAAGCACTGGGCAACAAGAATTCGCCCTTCTGCAGCAGAAAGCCCTTCATTAGTACATCCAGGTTGCCTTCCCCAGCTGTCTCATTCTGTGTCTCCGTGCTGTAGGCTGGGCTAGACCAATGGAAGAAGTCAGTTCCAGTGACAGGGAACACAGAAGGTTATACACAAATAAATCAACATGCCCAGCTTCTAGGATGACAGCAGGGTCAGGTCGGCTAACCATGCTTCCCTTCCATAGAGATGATAATTTCTCCCCCAGCCTGTGAATTAAAAGAGCAATCAGGACAAAAGTTATTTATCTTGTTGCTTAATGGAGAGGAGGGGAGGAAGGAGGGAGAGAGTCAGACAGGGTCAGAGCCCTTGCTGAACACTTGCAGCTGTGCAGACAGGTAGCAAAATTTGAGAGGGGCACTGGTGCAGCAGGGGAGCAAGAAATAATCAGGTTTCACTGCTAAATATTGAACACTTTCATCCATCCCTAAATCTGAGTGATAAGAAGCTGCCCAAATTCTTGTCCACTTATGAGTCTCAGACATTCAGAGGTACAAGAGAGGAGGAATTGGACCCTCTTTCCTTCTTTACTCAGAAGGTGATTTTGACCCATAAATGTGGCTCCAGACCTGGAGTGCAGCCTGGGGAATCCGGCCACCGCCTTGGTGTTTGTCGTGTCCTGGAATCTTAGCTGGCAGCTTTTTACTAGAAGTAGCAGCTAAAGTCTTGGTATCTAAAGCCACCTCCTTCTTTTTACTCATAGCCTGTTATAATACAGTGAGTTGTATTCTGGGGACTGGAAATATTAGGTTCTGGTCCTGACTTAGAATTATCTGCCCATGTGACCTCGTACCCTATTGTACTCCTTTGGGCCTTACTTTTCTCATCTGTAAAATAGGGAATGAGTAGTATATTCGTTTTCTAGGGCTACTGTAACTTTGTACCAGAGACTGGGGGGCTTACACAACAGAAATTTATCGTCTCAGTTTCCAAAGCCCAGAATCAAGGTGTTGGCAGGTTTGGTTCCTTTTGAGGACTCTGAGGGAAGGATGTGGTCCAGGCCTCTCTTCTAGCTTCTGGTAGCCTCAGGGGTTCCTTGGCTTTACGATAGCTGTCTCTGGGTCTCTCTGCATTGTCTTCCTTCTACACATGTCTGTCTCTGTGTCCAAATTTTCCCTTTTTATAAGGACACCAGTCCTATTGGATTAGGATCCATCCTAATGGCCTCATTTGAACTTGATCACTTAGTAAAGACCCTGTCTCCAAATAAAGTCACTCTTTGTTATATTGGGAGTTAGGCCTTCAATATATGAATTTTGGGGGGCATGCAGTTTGACCCATGACAAGTATTTAGAAGTCCTTCTAACCCTAATAGTTACACATATAATGCTTTATGATTTTGACACTTTCATGAACAATGTGTTTATTCTCACTGAAACCTGTGGAACATTACTTGTGTCCCATTGTTCTCCTGATTGAGAAGTAGATGGTCACGATGATAACTGATGCATATATGGTACCTTCCACAGACCAAGCTCTGTTACATAGTTATTAACCCTTATCTGCCCAGAGGAAACAGGCACAGATAGGTTAAGTGGTCCCAACTCGACATAGCAGGGAACTGAAGGAGGAGGACTCAGAAGCCAGAATGTGTGCTTTCTAACCTCCATGCAGTGCCTCTGTTCATTTGTGTTATAGGAAGTTTAGAAAACCAGGAAGGTGAGAGTCTAGGAATTTGGTAAGTACAGCGTGATGTGCAAGTGGCTGACCGGAGTTTCCCTGAGCAACAGGGTATGGCACTGCTAGGATCTGAGTGCTGGGCCTCCAGCTAGCAGATGCTCTCCCCTCGATGTGGTCTCTGGTCTTTGGCCAGTGCACGCCCCCCTCCCACCATCCCTGGAGGGAAGACCCTACCCTCTGCCAGGTCTTTCTTTTGCCCCAAGCAGTCATGCGTCTGTCAAATGACTGGCAGCTCCCACAAGTGTGTGTGGATCAGAATGGAGATTGGCATAAAGGTGGGGGATTTTCATGGCTCAGTTTTAGGGTGATTTTTATTAAGGAGTTACAGGCAGTAAACTCCTGATTCCAGGGCACTTACCAACTTAAAGAACAAACACTTAACTTCTCTATTTTTTTCCCATTTTTTCCCCCCAGAATCTGTGAGAAATGTCCTTTCATACAAGTCAGAAATTTCACCTGATGCTTCATTTTTCTAACAAAGTCAGAAACAACCCTTTGATTTTCTTACCATTACATCAGAAAGACTAATAAAAATTCCAATTTCCATATCTGCTGTCTGCAAATAGAAAGTTTAAAATAATCACAAAAGATCATAGTAATATCCTCTGGATGGTCTACAACATTCCTTTGACTACAGTTTATCTTTTCAGTTAATTGGTACATCCTTCTTATTTTGATAAGCAGTGCTGCAACCCTCCCCCTCCCCTCACTTCATAGACTCTATTAATATACTGTGTTTCATTATCTTCCTTAGCAACTCAAAGACAATCCCATTCAAGTGGCCCTTTATTAGTGTGAAAGAATCTGCTACGTGGGGTAGCTGAAATGCTTTCTAACTGACACCAATAAAGTATCCAGACGTTTAAACCATATTTTCCCTCAGTCTATTCTTTTTAGCTGAGTAACCTAGACAACTGTCTTTCTGAAAAGCTTTCATCACACCTCGGCGTATTCCCCGTATCTGTTTCTTATTTACAGTTTATAGTGAAACCAGAAGAGACTCAGTCGTCTTGAATAATTTGAGCCTGCCACCCATTTCCATGCAGAACTGTTAATACGGTGCAGGTGAATGGGCGAAAGCAAATAAAATGGAGATTGGGGAACTTCGGCTTCATCCAGAGGTTTTCCCCAAATAAAGTACATTCAGGGGGAAGATATAAGAATTGCTTATAACAATTCTTTCTTCCAAGGGGCAGGAATAGGAAAAGGTCTCTTCTGGTGGTATCAATTATATTCCCTTTCTTAGTAGTCTGTTGCAAGAACTCTTGCAAGTATGCCCACAATGTGGGAACCAGCTTTATCCCAAATGGGGTTAATTAAAGAGTTAAACTCCACCCCAGCCATCATCACATGGGGGCGATTTCCGATTCTGATCCAGTGTTAAAAGTAAAAAAATAACAATGCCGAAAGAACTGAAAATGAGCACGGTCTGTGTCCCTCTAACTCAGAACAGATTCAAGCCATAGTCAGCCCTTCTGGGTGTCCAGCCCCTCCTGGATCCCCGGGTCTCCTGCATCTGCTCAGTAAAATGAGAGTGATAGCGATGGTTTGAGCACAAACTCCTGAATTGCATCGCAGCCTAAAAGTCTGGATGGGAAGTTCACAGCTCATTCATTCAGTGATCCATTTATTCATCAAGTGTTGGTTATTTCTTGAGCCTTTAAAGACCGGGTACTAGGCTGGATTCTGATCGGTCTAGGAAGTAGATCCAGAAGAGACCCTAGCTACCTTACCAGTCAGGATCCCAGCAGGACAAATGAGGAGAGCTTAAATAAAGATTTATTTGCAGAGGTGTGGGTGAGATTAAGAGAAACCAGGAAGAGTTAGTTGGCGCGGTTCCCTGGGGCTAGCAACAACGGTGGCTAGTCCCCTCTGAGCCTCAAGGACCAGCAGGAGGGAGTGGTTACCTGAGCCCAGCAAAGGAAGGACTGCCTGTTAGCGCCTGGGGTCTTAGGTAGAGGAATGCAGTCCACCTGCAGTGACTTGGCAGGGAGGGAGGGAGCTGGGAATAAATCCCCCACCTCATTCCCTCTTCTCCCACCCTCTCATCTCCTGCTGGTTGGCTGAACCCAACAGGAAACCAGAGTCAAGGAAGCTTCCTGATGAAGCCGGTAAAAGTTAGCCTCCCAGGGCTTGAGCAAAGAGGAGGAGGGGCAGGTATCAACCATCCCTTCTACTCCCCTTTCTGAAAGAAGCTGGTAGTGTTAGATTAATTAGGACAGAACTAAGAGATTCCTCATGGGAGGTTGGAGTTAGATAGACTCCTTCAGAAACGCTGAGGGAATGTGACACTAAGCCATCCTATAGTGTTGCCCCTTGTAACAATTGGCAAGTAATGACAGCAAGCTCTATGATGGATTGATTGATAGTAAAAACCCAGATGAACAAACCCCCAGTCACAAATACTGAACTGGTTCCCTGTTTAGCAAGATGTGCTGGTGTGAGTCTACTAGCATTCCAAGGCCCTCCTTGCCATATGGCGGGATGGAAAAGGAAGAAAAGGGGAGGAAAAGAACATTTATTAAGCCTCTGATTGTACTCCAGATCCTGGGCTAGATGATTTATATACTTTATTCCACTTTTATTCTTACAAGGACTTATGAAATGTTTTATTTGTGTCATTTTACGGATGAGGAAACCGAGCCTCTGAGAGGTTGGCCAGATAGTTCAAAAGCACACCATCAGCTAGTAAGAAATCAGGAAAGGGATTCTCAACCAAATTTGATAAGCACACCAGATTGGGAGTTAGGTCCACCCTCACTAGCTGTGTGACTTCTTACAAATAATTTCTCCTTGGGCAAGTCTCTTAACCTCTGTTCCTGGGAGCCCATGTATGTTAAGTGAGGAGCCTATATGAGACCAGCCTACAGGGGACAGAAGGAACATAAATGTGTGAATCAGAGTGGATGAGGACTCTGGCCTCATCCAAAGTTGTTGATATTTGGAAATATGAGAGCTGATTTTGGAGTTTCTTCTGTGGGGTGTGTATGTGTGTGTAATATCCCGATTATTTTAAATGTTTGCAACAAATTCACAAAAATATAAAGTGTATCTTTGAGCCCATACAAAATATCCCCATCGCTCTGATAGTCGGAAACTTCATGTGTCCTGGACTATAGCCTTTTCCTCGATGTAAAATCAGTATGTGCTATGGTGCAACGTCCTCTTTAGTGTTTTATTCATTCACTAAGTCTATGAAGTGGCTGCTGTGCTGGGCACCTGTGTTAGGGCTGGGACTGTGATGATGAACAGAAGACCTTATCCCCTTGGTCCTTAGGCACTGTGAGGAAGATGGACTTGAAAATAAACACAAGGGCCTGAGTGTTAAGCCTAAGAAGTGCAGGGGGTTATGAAATATCTCAGAGGTGGAGGGCTGGCATGCAAGGAGTTATTCTGAAGTGAAGGCCAAGCTTCCTCAAGGCTACTCTTCCTTCTGCTTTTCCGTCAGGTGCCTCAGGGCGCCTGTCCTCCTGCCTGATCCAGAGGAACCCACAGCCCTTCTAAACTCCACCTACCAAAGAAACATCCTTCAATCACAACTGCATCCCGGCTAAGTCCCATTCAGCCACCAGGGTCAGCCCTGGATGGAAACTATGCAGCCTCACTTCTCTTTCCTACTGTTCAGTTAATCCATTTTAAGCTGCCATTTTTTTTTTTTTTTTTTTCCCAACTTAGGGAAACAGATGTTTCATTGTCTTCTCAATTCTTAGGATATGCCACATGCATGAATCAAACTTTTAATCATCTGCTTGGAGGACTTTGGAGGTCAGCAGAGCCTGTGGCTGGGAGGACTTAGCTTTTGTGACCATCACCTTCATGTTGGGAGCGGCCGGGCTCTGGGCTTGTGGCGTTTCCGGCACAGGCAGGCACCCAGCAATAGCTTCACCTTTCTACGAGGTGACCCAGAGACAGAGTGAGCAGAGAAGGCCCTTTTCAATGAAGTATTTTTGAATCCTTGGAGGAGGGAGCTCCGAGGGAAGAGATGCTGAATATACGTGTGGTTTTTATAAGAAGCAGCTTTTACCTCTTCTTTTTCTGTGCAACATCCTGCAGTGCTTGGGAGGGTATTTGCTGAGAACATTCTTAAAATAGAGGCTTGGAAACCAATCTGTCAGGTAGAAGTATGCAGGCGGTGAAACGCTGGTTACCGTGACACCAAGCTGGGATGTGAATTATCTTGTCCCCCCAGACTGATCCTGGCTGAGGGGGCCCATCCGAGGGTCGAGGGAGAGGCTGAGTGACCATGCCTGCATGGCCTGCAGCCTAGTACGAGGATCCTTGAGGCCCGCTTGTCCTTGACCATTGCCGCCTTTGTGGTTCCAGGCATCTGGAAGACAACCAGGTCAGCGTCATCGAGAGAGGCGCCTTCCAGGATCTGAAGCAGCTGGAGCGATTGTAAGTACAGCACAACCTCCTTTCTTGAAAAGCCTTATTTGTTTGTAAATTGGCTTCTTCGTTGTGGCCTTGCTAAGAAAAGAAGAGGGCTCCAGTGTTTAATAAAACGTTTGCTATTATATTTAAAGCACATTAGTTGCCTGAAACCCATTTAAACTTTTTTTCTTTAAAAGATGCTAGAATTGGCATCTGGGCCTGTTTTTCTGCTTCCCAGCCTTCAGCTCTGTCTTGGTAGCTGTACGTGGGGCTTGTTCCTGCCCAAGCCTCAGGCTTCCCTTCTGTGGGGGACGAAGGACCTCAGTTAGCTATATCCCTGTCACGGAAACTAGCATCAGGAGCTCCCTACTCCTATACCTGGGTAGCAGGCTCCCTCCTCAGGCCTTCTCCTCGGGGCCCCCTCTGCCCCATTCTCACGGGAGCAGAAGGGCAGGCGGGTAGGCGAGGCCTTCGGTGTGTGCCTGTATCTCCTCTGAGTGAGCGTCAGCCTGTGTCAGGAAGCCCACATATTTTCATGAGAGAATGCATTGCCAGTGGTTTAAAAATAGGCCACTGTTCTGACTCTGACAGAGGGAGAGAGCAAAAGGGGTGGGGATGGGAGATGGATGGAGCCTCCACTCGTTTTGTTGATTAATGCTTTTGCAGAAAACTCTCGGGTCACTGTGATGAGGGAGACTGCTCAGATAGTTAAGTGGGCAGCTTCCCCTTCCCTCGGTTAATCACATCTGGCAGCTCATAACATCTGGATATTTGCTTTCTGCCCTTTGAGAGGGGATTGTCCCCAGGAGCACTTAGTCATTCTGGTGGGCGGCTCTTTCCATGCTTCCTTCTGTATCCTGGTTGACCTGATAGTTCAGCCTCCTTCTCCTGCATTTCGGGGGACGGGCCTGCAACAGCTCTCTGCTCCTCCAGCTTCAGGATCTTCCCATCTTCACCTGTCCTGTTTCCAAATCTCATCTACAGAGATAGGCTTGGGTAAGGTACAGGACTTTCCACCAACTTGTGAGCTTTGTAATCCGCCATCTTTTCCCTTGGAGTCATTCCATCTGGGGCAACCTGAGAAGGGGAAGGGATATTACCCAGCAAAAGCCTTTACTCCCCACTCTGTGTTGTGAACTGTCTCATTCATTGCTCTCCCTCTGGGTCAAAGGTCAGCATACGTTCTCTTGTTGGTTTGAAGATATGACTTTAATTTCTTACAAGGGAAAACAGAGATAAAAATAATGAATGTTGCCTCTGTCTCTACTTTTAAGTTTCTTAAAATGTTAACTCTTCTCCTTATTTAGACCCAGGAAACATAATAATAAAAGTACTTGTTGAACCTGCTTCCTTTGTATGAAATACTCAACATTTACGTGGAAGAAAAAATACAAAATCCTTTGTGAGAAGGCCACTTCTTGCGTAGTCTTCTGATTAGAAGTATAAATAAATTCCCAATTCATTAATCTCATGGCTGTTGGGAAAGAGCTAATTGAGTACCTTGGACATGCTGGGAACTATGCCAGTATATTATATGCTATCTGTTATTTTATCCCCACAAAATTCCTGTGAGGTGTGATTACCCTCATTTTGCAGATGAAGAAACAGAGGCTGGGGGAGATGAAGCCAAAGAATTGTCAGTGGGGGGAGCCAAGATTCAAAGCCACATCTGTCTGACATCAAAGCCCACGTCCTTTCATATTTCTCTGCTGCAAGCATTTGATGAAATGTGATCTTTAGCAATGGCCCTGCAAATAGCCTCTCACATACCCATTGAACTCCAGGGAATATCAGTGGAATAGTCTAGCAAAAGGCTCTTTTCTTTGGCTTGGTCAACATGGCTGAAATACCTTGTACGTCTGAGGGACTGAGAGGATTACAGTTGTAGGGTAAACCTGGCTGTTTCTCTGCTTTGGTGTATTAAGAGGGTAATGCTAGCTGCTGTACTAGATAAACCCTCAAATCTCATAGCTTAACAGGGTGGAAGTTTACTTCTTATTCATATAAAACCCAGTAAGGCCATTCCTGGTGGCTGGGCCTCTCTCCTCCAAGGGGAGACTTCGGGACATGGGGTCCTTCCATTCCCTGGCTCTGCCGTCTTTAAGTCGTGGCTTCCAAGGTACCAGTGTTTGTCGGCCTCAAGCTAGTGGACGGGAAAACAGCAGGAAGGATTGTACATGGGAGGTTTTCATGGGAAAGACCTGGAAGGACTACATGTTACTTCTACTGTTACATACCTTGGGCTGGAACTCAGTCATGTGGCCACAGTAAGCTGCAGGGGAGGCTAGGAAAGTAGTCGAGCTGTATGCCCTGGAAGTAGAGGAAACAGGCTTAGTGAACAGCTAGCCAGTTTCTGACTTATATTGCAAGTGAGCTGAGAAGTCCTTGGTCAGGAAGAAGAATGGAAGTATAGGTGGTTGGACTAGTACGTACAGCTGGACAGGCTCTCTCATTTAAGGCCTTTCAGTGTCGGTGTGTGTGATGTGATCCTGACTAGTGTTTATCTGGTTTTGGTTATCCAGTCTGCCCGCAGACAGAGGACTACAGAGTGGGAAATTACAATGTATTTGCTATTAACAACGGAAGAGGTAGAGGGCTGATTGTGCCATCATCCCTGGCTCTCACTACTGGCTTACTTTACCTGTGTCTCTGTATTTGGTAGTAAATTAATCTTTATTGATCATACTCTGAAAGAGGCTGGAAATTGTATCATTTCTGTAATGTTTATTTTCGTTTGGAATGGTCATTACGGGTGTAATCTCTTGAGGCTTACAGGGAAAAGGGAGAGAATCCTGTCCTTCAGGTCTCTACTCAGGAATTCTCTATTCCTCCGTGAAAGGACCTGTGCTCCAGGCTGAGTTAGGTGCCCCTTTCCTCATGACAACACATTGTGGTCCATATCATAGCACTTATGCCATATTTTAATTCCCTATTTGCCTGATTGTCTCTCCGCAGAACTATGAGTATTTGGAGATGAGGAATTATGTTCCATTTAACTGTTAATCTCTAAGGTTTGCACAAAGCATGATAGTAAGCACTTGTAGAATATTTATCAAATACTTAGGTTTTTGTTCTATACCAGTGGTTCTGAACTGGGACCAGTTTTCCCCGCCAGAGGACCCTTGGCAATGTCTGGAGACATTTTTGGTTGTCAGAACTGTAGGATGTTAATAGCATGTATTGAGTAGAAGTCAGGAATGTGGCTAAACATCCTACAATGTACAGAATAGCTCGCACAACAAAGAATTACCCAGTCCAAAATGTCAGTAGTGTTGAGGTTGAGAAACTCTGCTCTTTCCCCGTTATGT